GAGAAAGCAGTACAATCAACACTAAGGTAGCAGGACAGTACCCAACCATGACATGCATCCCAATAGGCCACTACAGTTTTAGATCCATTAAACACACACACTCACACACACACGCACATACGCATAAGCACACATGTACAAGCACACACACGTACAAGCACACACACACACACACAGAGCATCTTCCACAACAATACTCAGGAGGTCCAAGACCACTCCTGGTGGTACTCAGCCAACTGGGCTGATAGAGCTTCTTTCGCCTGCAGTGCCAAGGACCGTCAAGGTCACTCCAGAAATGCTGTGGGTGAGGGGGTCCTCCAGTGCTAAGACTCGGCAGTGCTCAGGGAACCCTGTGACGCCAGGATTCAAACTCAGGTCCCAGCATGTGTAAAGCCTGAGTCCCTAACCACTGAGGCATCTTCTCGGCCCCCCAAATCCATCTATTTTCTTCTTCTTTTTTTTTTTACACAGTATCTAGCCTTGCTAAGCTGTATGAAATACAGTTCTATGAGTAGAAGTGTAGTTTTGTCTTGTCTTGAGGTCACATCCGGCAATGCTCAGGGCTTGACTCCTGGCTCTGTGCTCAGGTGATGCTCAGGGGACCGCATGGAGTGCCAGAGCTCAAACCAGGGCTCTGTGCAAGGCAAAGTCCTTACTCACTTTGCTCTCTCTCTCGGGTTCATAAATTCAGTTACAAGAAGTTGCTATTAAGGGAGGGAAGTTACAGCCGAGAGGAACGTGGTAGGCCTCAGATGGCCTGCATGGAGTCACGCTACCGACGCGGCTGTTGGGGGATCTCCACAGTCACAGGACTGACAGCCAGGCGGGAGCACAGAACATTAGAGGGGAAGGCACAGAGACACCCACTAAACTCAGCCTGAAACAGCACAGAGGCTCACGCGCGCCTCCCAGCTCAGCAAATCCTCCAAGACTTTGGTGAAACCACTATGAGACATATCTTGTGACAAGCAACATAAAGTCAGTCATTATATGTCTGCTAATTGCAGAGCCAGAAGTGGCCCCTTAGTTTTGGGTGTGGTTCCCAAACAAAAGAATTTAGTCTTCTTGAATGTGGAATTAATCACCAGCACTTTGGAATATTCTATTCAGAAAAAATGTGATTTTGTTTTTATCCCCAAGACCAGCTTAGAATTGAAATTACTAAGGGAGAAAGCTGGGGAACGTAACTTGGGACATGGGTGGAGGGAAGGTCACACTGGTGGTGGGATTTGTGTTGGAACATTGAATATCTGAAATGACTGTACTATGAACAATTTTGTAAATCACAGTGTTTAATTTCAAACAGGAAATTTAAAAAATTTAAATATAAAACAAATTGCTATTAAAAAGAAAACTGGTGGTAGCTCTGGATCAGTCCTCTCTTTATCCTACACGCATAGGTTTTCACATAACTGGTCAGTTATTAATTCTTAAAAGTTTAGCTTCTTGGGTCTGGTACAGCAGGTAGGGCATTTGCCTTACATGCTGCAGACCTGGGTTCAATCTCCTGCATCCCATATGGTCCCCCGAGCACCGCCAGGAGTAATATCTGAGTGCAGAGCCAGGAGTAACCCCTGAGCATCGCTGGGTGTAGCCCCAAATCAAAACAAAAGAATTTAGCTTCTTGAATGTGGAATTAATTACCAGCGCTTTCAGACTATTCAGAAAAATGATATTGTTTTTGTTCCCAAGACCAGCTGAGAATTGAAATTGTCTTTCCTTGACCCCACAAAGCTATGAAAGTCATCTTCTTTCTAAAATAACCAACATTTCCTTCCAGAATTTTACCTGTCAGGAAGTCCTCGGGGAAATGACAGAGAGAATGACAGAGAAATGACAGGGGGAACTGACCCAGTGTGCTGGGGCTTCCTTGAATTACTGCCGCGCTGAGGGTGGGTCTTTGTAGTCTGGCCTGAGAGACCCGAGGGATGGCTGGGGGCAGTGGTTGCTCTTCTCCTCCTCGGCTGTCTTCACTGAGTGACAGGAGGGGCAATTGTGGGAGGTGTGTGATGTGCTGAGTAGAGTTGTCACGCTCCTTTTCCTAGGGCGGAATTCGGGTATGGAGGCTTCCAGGCCGAGCTGGACAGGCTGGACTGATGTTCCCTGGAGTGGTCGAGCAGCAAGCAGGACTTCCGGAGCTGGGTTGTGGAGCCACCTGGCATCTCTCAAACTCCGGACCAGGCCAACGCTTCCTCTTGGAGTCTCACTGTATCACTGTAGTACTGTCATCCCATTGTTCATGATTTGCTTGAGTGGGCACCAGTAACGTCTCCATCCATGCCAGTCCTGAGATTTTAGCAGCCTCTCCTTACTCATCCTTCCCAACGGTGCCATTTTAGAGGCTCTTTCGCGGTCAGGGGAATGAGACCTGTTGTTGTTACTGTTTTGGCATATTGAATACACCAACGGTAGCTTGCCAGGCTCTGCCTTGCGGGTGGGATCCTCTTCGTAGCTCGCCGGGCTCTCGGAGAGGGAAGGAGAATGTATATGAGAATACAAGCAAGTATGTTAAAACCAAACACGCATGTGCTGCTTAGGTACATCAGTGGGCTAGACTAAGAGGTCGTGCGAACTCGGCTATGTCCGTCTGGGAACTTTGGGGTCTCGAGGATGGAAAGGACTTTGGCTGACCATATCCAAAAAACTCAAGTCCCCAAGGGGCCCAAAGGGAAGGCAGTTTTCCTGAGGACTCTTCAAACACTAGTGTTCCCAGGGCGTTTACCTGTAGTCACATCCTCAAGAGGAAAACGCGATCTGCCTGGTCCCCTTGGTCACCTCTGCCTCCTTCACACTGGTCTTCTCCACTCGGGACCTTTTAAACCTGGAGGTGACGCTGAGACAGGGTGTGATTCAGTGGCACAGTATGGGAAAGTGAAAGAAATCCAGGTAACAGTAGAGGAATTAAACCTGCTTTTTTTTTTTTTTTGCTTTTTGGGTCACACCCGGCGATGCTCAGGGGTTACTCCTGGCTCATGCACTCAGGAATTGCTCCTGGCGGTGCTCAGGGGACCATATGGGGTGCTGGGTATTGAACCTGTGTCGGCCATGTTGGCTGCGTGCAAGGCAAACGCCCTACCCGCTGTGCTATCGCTCCAGACCCTAAACCTGCTTTTTAAAAAAAATTTTATTTTCATAGTTATTCACATTAATTGATTACATTCAGTATTTCAACACCAATCCCACCACTATGACCCCTTCCCACCACCATTGTTTTGAATTTTCCCACCACCACACAAGCCTGCCCCAAAAGCAGATGCTAAATCTTTTATTTTGTACAGCTTGTTATAAATAATGCACTAAAAATGATGCAAAGAAGTTTCCTTAGAGGAAAATGTGTGAGAATTGTTGCATCTCACCCTAGAGCCATTAAGCCTTTATATGAGAGATTATGAGTATGTTCTTACATGTTGCGCCTTGTGTGCTAAGATGTATTTTTGGATCGAGATCGGTTGCCTTCTACCTTAACCCCCTCAAACGTGGTGAGCTACTCTTGGTACATCAGTGGACTAGAGAGAGACAGAGGCAGAGAGACAAAGACAGACAGGAAGACAGCATGCATTATTTTGCTTTCCACAGTAAGATTCCAGAGAGTAACAACACATCATTACATACTAAACATACCAGCATTTAATGTTCTTGTCACAAGTCACCAATCATTCTCGATCATCATAATTTACAGGATTTATCTTTTTCTATATAAAACATATTAAAATGGCCAACAACAACAAAAAATGGAGATAAAAAAATTTTACATTACAAAAGTAGTGGTTAGGTGTGTCTATATGTATGTATAAAACCATACCTGTACATGTGTCTATGTATAGTGTTATACACACATAGTTTTTATCGAGTGGTTCTTTTCTAGAATATTCCATACCGATCAAGATCATTCCCAGAAAGATAATGCTTAGAAAGTAAGGCCATGTTTATGAGGAACCCAAATTAGTCAAAGGCACGATGCTTTGTGTTTTTTTGGGGGGGAGGGGCCACACCCGGCAGTGCTTGTAGGTTACTCCTGTCTCTGAACTCAGGAATTACTCCCAGTGGTGCTCGGGGGACCATATGGGATGCCAGGGATCGTACCTGAGTCAGCTGCATGCAAGGCGAAAACCCTGCCCACTATACTGCCTCTTCGTCCCAGCAAGATTCTTTCTTGAGGAGGGGGCACTCCTGGTGGTCCTTGGGGTACCATGTGGTGCTGGGGATCAGACGCGCAGCCTCCGGGGAGAGGCATGAACTCCAGCATCTCAGCCGTTTCCCCAGCCTCAAAGCCAAGTTTATTGGGTGGGGCGGGGGTGGGAGGCGAAAGCAGAGCACATCGGCAGTGCTCGGGGTTACTCCTGGCTCTGTGCTCAGGGCTTCCTCCCGGGGTTCCAACCGGCTCAGCTGCAGGCAGGGCAAGCACAATCCCCACGTTTCCTCTCTCTGATCCCAAAATCAAGGGAATTTTTTTTTTTTGCCTTTTGGGTCACACCTGGTGATGCTCAGGGGTTAAGTCCTGGCTCTGCACTCAGGAATTACTCCTGGCAGTGCTCGGGGGGCCATATGGGATGCCAGGGATCGAACCCGGTTTAGCTGCGTGCAAGGCAAACGCCCTCCCCACTGTGCATTCGCTCCAGCCCCTGAAGCCAAGACTCTTCAATGAATGCAAACTAGAGGCGAATTCTCCCCCGGTTGGCTCCCCCCCCACCCCGTTCCTTTGTCCCTCTCTGCCCTGCGGTTCCCATCCAGATCACACACCCCTGTGCTCTCCAAGTCCACAGCACGCGGGGCCGGCAGGGACCCCTTCAACACGGCTCAGACGTCACCCCCGGTCGGGTAGGGCAGCTGCTTGGCAGAGGCCCCAGACACCTGGCTGGCCAGCCCTGTGCCGCTCGTGGCTGGCAGGGTGCCCGAGCCCAGGAAGAAGGTCCCACGCCCTCAGTGGCCACAAACGCTCCTGTTCACAGGTGAGCGCCATCGGTGGCAAGGCTGAGGAGCCGCACCCCATCCACGCAGCCCTAGAAGACGGGGATGTGGTAGTGGCAGTCATTCTCGGTCAGCAGGGGGACCAGTGGCCACTCCCGGGGAGGCTCCTCTGGGTAGCAGACCTCAAAGTCCCTGCAGTTAAACCGGAACGGTCGGAACACTTTTATCTTCACTTCCAGGGAGTGTCCAAGGATAAACAGATCCATCTGGAAAGGGGAGGAGACAGCGGTCACCCACACGCAGGCCCAGACTCCTGCCCCCTGCCTACCCCAGCCATAGTGCGTTCTGCTGTGGCTGCTGAGATGACAGGCTTGTTCCCAGGCCCCCCCGGGAGCCCAGAGTGGACAGAGAGGGAGAGACAATCATTCATTATGGGGCCCGGGCAGGGATGAAGGAATTGAAAGGGAAGCGGCCGATGAAAGAGAATAGACAGAGGGCGGGGAGCCCGGCAGGTAAGGGAGGCCCCTGAGCCTGCTGGGGGGGACCCCCCCCCCCACACACACACACACACACAGAGTCAGGCCCAGTGCCCGAGTCCTACAGGGGGTGGCCCCCAAGCAAAGAAAGAAACAAAACAGCTAATAAATCCAGAATAAATGCTCATCCGAAATATAATTCCCAAAAGTAGAGAGAGGGTATCACAGAAATTGCCTGTCATAGAGGCAGGGCGAGGACTGGGGTGGGGGGGTGGTGGTTAATGGGGACATTGGTGGTGGAACATTTGCACCGGTGGAGGGATGGGAGTTCTATCATTGGATCATTGTATGGCTGAATCTCAAACATTTGTTTGAGATTTGTAACTTTGTAACTGTATCTCCAGGTGATTCGATTTAAGAAAATAAAAAGAATAAAATGCACATCATGAAAACCACACTGTGGTAGGGCGTTTTCCTTGCACGTGGCTGACCCTGGTTCCACTCCCAGCATCCCAAATGATCCCCTGAGCACTGCCAGGAGTAATTCCTGAGTGCAAAGGCAGGAGTAACCCCTGCGCATGGCTGGGTGTGATCCAAAAAGCAAAACAACAACAAAAAAAAACCCATGCTGTTGAAAAAAATCCACTTGAAAAAGACCTGTTTTCCAACTAGGTTTTAAATATAATAAATAATAACAATTGAAAATCAATGTGTATACCAAATGCCAGCTAACTATGTGTGCGTCCAAGCAGAGCAAAACAAAACAAAGATCTCTACGGAGACAGGAAAACATTTTTTTCCTGGATTTAAAACAATTCAATGATGTCTTTCTCTCTGCTGCCAAGCAGCCACGGGACACCCTCCGGGTTCCCCTTGGCTGCGGGAGTGGCCGGCTGGGGGGAGAGGCCGAGAGAAGGGGGACGCTCAGCCACCTGCAGCAACCATAGAACAACAGGGCTTATCGCTATTTTTTTTTAGCATTTCCGGTCACACCTGGCAATGCACAGGGGCTCCTCCTGGCTCTGCACTCAGGAATCACCCCTAGTGGCTGGTGCTCAGGGGACCATATGGGATGCCGGGGATCAATGATAACACCCTTGCCGCTTTCCTATGGCTGCGGTCCGGCTTATCACTCTTATCCGCGTCTGGGTCTGGGTCCCATCGACCAGAGTTTCCCGGCAGCACCTCTTGTCACCGGCACGGACCTCCGCACACCCCTGCCTCTCTGCCCTCTCCCCCCTTCCTCAAACACACACTGATTCTTCCGCCCCATTGACCTGCTCGAGTCCACAAGTGTCGCCCACGGAATTCAGGTGATTCATCATGAAGCTTAGGGGGTCCGGGGAGGTTTCCCGGGAGAAGAGGATTCGGAAGAGAGGGGGGACGACCTTCTTCATCTTCATTTGTTCGTAAACTTCGGTGACTTGACAGAGCATGAGGAACTTCAAGGCTTCGTAGAGCTTGAACTCCAGGATGGCATCGGAGAAAAGGACATTGCACATCCTTCCTCGTTTGTGCTGGTCTCTGACCCCACTGAACTCGGTCCACTGAAAAGGCAGATGGACACATGACACGTGGAAGGACAAAGGCGCATGCAGAGAGGCCACCTTTCTGTAAAGCACAGCAGGGAGGGCATTTGCCTCGAATGTGGCCGGCCCAAGTTTGATCCCTGGCATCCCACCTGGTCTCCCAAGCACCACCAGGAGTGATTCCCGAGTGCAGAGCCAGGAGTATCCCCTGAGCATTGCTGGGTGTGATCGAAAAACAAAAGAACAACAACAAAAAAAAAAAAGAAAGAAAAGAGAAAACAAAACCAAAATACAGCATATTTAGAACCACCAGAGATGAATGGCAAGGTGAGCAACTCTGACTTTTTGCGTTTTTTCTTTTGACAGTTCATTTGCACAGGGCTCCCAAGTTCTGGGAAGACCAGGGGCCAATTCTGGTGCTACTTGGCCCAACTAGTCCAGATGGTCCTGCGCTGAGGCCCAGTGAGGTGGTACCGCTCAGACCCAGCAGAGCATGAGGCACTCAGGGATCTGCCTGGAAGTACTCTGGGGACATCCAGTGCTAGGGACCAAACTTGGGTCTTTGTACCCCAACTCTGGTGGTAACTCCCTGACCTCCAGCTGAGCTGATTCCAACCAGGAGTAAATGCTATTTTTACGACTCATCGGGTGCAGGACTAAGCAAGTCAGTGTTCTGAACACACCTTCAGATCCTGTGTGGACACAGGGGGTATTAGTGAACGCACAGGCATGAGCTCATTCAGCAGATTCTCACAGTAATGGCATGGGGATACGAGTCCAACCTCCACCTTACAGACCCGGAAGCTAGGATGCAGAAATGCTAGTTGGGGCCACACCAACAGCAAAGCTGGGAGGGAGCTTGCCTCGCACCTGGCCGGCCCGGGTTCAGTCCCTGTCACCCCGTACGGTCCCCTGAGCCCTGTGCCAGAAGTAAGCTATGAGAACCGCCAGATGTGGTCTCCAGATTAAAAAAAAAGGGGGGGCTGGAGCGATAGCACAGTGGTAGGGCGTGTGCCTTGCACACAGCCAACCCGGGTTCGATTCCCAGCATCCCATACGGTCCCCAGAGCACCGCCAGGAGCAATTCCTGAGCGCATGAACCAGGATGCCGAAAACTGCAATGATGATGGTCCTCATTTCCCTGACCCTGAAAGAGCCCCCAATGTGCCATCGGGCTACACTAGCACATGATGAGGACCCATGGAGACTTTACTGGCGCCGCTCGAGCAAATCGATGAACAAGGAGGTGACAGTGATAGTGATAGTGATGAACCAGGAGTAACCCCTGTGCATCGCGGGAGTGTAACCCAAAAAAGCAATGAATAAATAAAAATAAAAAGAAATGCTAGCTATATTTCCCGCCCCCCCAGGACTTATTTCAATGACCCCAAAAAATCTATGTCACTGTCAAAAAGCAGGAAAAATTCCTTGTTTTCCTTTTTTGTTTTGAGGTCACACCCATCGGAGCTCAGGGATCACTTCTGACCTGGTTCAGGGACCAGATGGGGCGTTGGGCTCAAGCCTGTTCAGCTGTGGGCAAGGCAAGAGATGTACCCTCTGTATTATCCTGCTGGCCCAAGGCAGGAAAAGTTCTCGGCCAAATGATAACATTTTGCTCCCCCACAGTTACGAGCAGGGCATATGCCAATGTGCTTGGCAGACACTAATGTGCTTTGCTTGCTTTTCTACCTCACCTTCTGGTGGGGAAACAGGCCTCCAGCCAGCCCACGGGCACCGAACATGAGGCACCGGCAGGGTGCGCCAGTGTCACCCCCGAAGAACGTTAAGGACCAGAGAACTGTCCTCGGCGCTCAGTGGGAAAGAGAAGGGTAGGGGAAACCCCCAACTCCCCCCCCCCCCGGCCCCCCGGCGTTTCTGTCTGCGTTTCCTGCTGACAGAGACACGGGTGGGTTCTGGGACACCCGTGCTCATTCCCCATCTCCTCCCAACCCGAATACCCACCTGGGTCTTCAGCAACTCCACGCATTTACGCAACTTTCCAAACACATTCGTGCCTGTGTACTTCTCGGGGCCGAAGCTGTATTGCTGGAGCCAGTTGCAGCCTTGCGAGAAGAGCAGCTTCTCGGGAAGCTGGGGAAGGAAGTGGAGGCCGGAGGGGGTCAGTTCCGAACACTGAGCCCCCACGACTGGGGATCTGTCACAGCGCGCAATCTCATCGCACTTGGCCATCTTTACTGAAAACACTGTGGCAGCGATCAAAAAAACTGGAGAGAGTACAGCAGGCAGGGCTTGCCTTGCATGCAACTGACCCAGGTTCGATCCCGGGCAGCCCTACCACAACAAGTCCCACCAAGAGTGATTCCTGAGTGCAGAGCCAGGAGTAAGGCCTGAGAATTGCTGGGTATGGACCCCAAAACAAAAGTGTGTGTGTGTGTGTGTGTGCGCGCGCGCGTGTGAGTGTGTGTGTGTGTTTGGCTTGGGATCATACCTGACAGTGCTCAGACCCAACTCCTAGCTCCATGCTCAGGGTTCAGGAGTCACTCCTGGTGGTTCTGGGGCCCATATGCAGTCCTGGGGACTGAGCTAGGATTGGCCATTGCAAAAAAAAAAAAAAACTTATCCCCTGTACAATTTCTCCAGCACATGGATACTATTCTTAATTTTGGGGGGGGGGGTACACCCGGCATTGCTCAGGGGTTATTCCTGACTCAGCACTCAGGAATTCTTTCTGGCGGTGCTCAGGGGACCATATGGGATGCCAGGGATCGAACCTGGGTCTGCTGCGTGAAAAGCAAATGCCCTTTCCACTATACTCTCACTCCTGCTCTCTTAATTTGGTTTTACAACTAATGAAAACCTTTATGTTTGATGTCTACAGAAACAACCTTTCAGGATAAGACACTTCTTAGACATCTGAGGTGTATCTCTTCAGAAATTATTTTGAACTAAGCGAGACAGAGTAGCAGGATCTCCCCAGGCAGTGCCTGGGCTTCAGAGGGCATGCTTTGGGCTTCCATCCTCGCTCTGAGACTCAGCAGCTCAGCCAGTCCTTACTCACCACAGAGAACTTCAACTCTGCTGCACCAAGCCCTCCACTGTGAGCCGAAGACTATGGTGTGTGTTTCACAAAACTCTCATGAGGGTGGAAAAAAAAGATAATGAGAGATGTAAGTCTAGCTTCCAAAAGTAACACCCCTATCTTATCCGGGGTTTTCCAGAGGAAATGGAACCAATGAAAACAACTCTGAATCAAGCAAATGTCACGGAAACAGAACCTGCGTAGCCCCCTTAACGTGGCTCCTTCCATTCTCTGCTCTTCTACCTCTAGATGCTCCTCTAGGTTAGGCCTGTACTACACTCACATGAATATCAGGGACAGGAACGTCAGTGCAGCGGGTGGGGCATCTGCCTTGCATGCAGCCAACCCTGGCTGGACCTCTGGCATTCCAGTTTTCTTCGAGCCCTGCCAGGAGTGATCCCCCACGCCTGCCCGAGTTAGGAGTAAGTCCTGAGCACCGCAGGGGGTGGCCTCCAGACCAAAAATAAAAAAATGAATAGGAATTCCTGTTCTTCATCAAGAATATATTTCACTGTCACCGTCACTGTCCTCCCGTTGTTATGATTTGCTCGAGCAGGCCCAGTAACTTTGTGAAACTTGTTGTTACTGTATTTGGCATATCGAGTACGTCACAGGGAGCTTGCCAGGCTCTGTTGTGCGGGCGAGATACTCTCGGTAGCTTGCCGGGCTCTCCGAGAGGGGCGGAGGAATCGAACTCGGGTTGGCCATGTCGGCTGCGTGCAAGGCAAACGCCCTACCCGCTGTGCTATTGCTCCGAAGAGCTGTCCACATTCAAAAACACAACAATCCAAAACACAAACAATCCAAAAAAAATGGACAAAATATTTTAACACTTCAGGAAGTCAATAGGGTGATAAATAAACGCATGAACAAGAAGCTCAACGCTTCGCTCTCTAGGTAGACTCGATGACATCAGCACACAAACACTCAACCAAAGCTAACGGACCATAAGAAGGGGCGCTTGCATGTGTGGAGGGGCGGGGGGTGCAAGATGGCAGTGCCACCAGGAAACAGCTGGGGAGACTTCTCCCAAGGCCCCTGCACACCTTCCCTTAGGTTCCCTGAGGCATTTGCAAAAGGAATGGAAACTTATGGTCACGAACATTCACGACAGTTTTAGTCACTGGTGCCAAAAAAAAGAAAGAAAGAAAGGAGAAGCCCTCCAGATGGTCCCTCCATGGGGAGGCGGAATGTGTCGTGCTTGATCAGGCCGAGGCGCTCACAGGAACAAGGGTGAGCTATCCATCCACGCATGCTCCGGGAAGAGCCCAACTCGCAAGGCAACGCATGACTCAGTTTCAACGGCAGTCATGCCTTACTGGAGAAAAAGGACCGAAGCCCTCTGGGGCCTCCAGGGGCTGGGGTGAGGGAAGCCTGAGTCTAAGGCATGGGAGGGGCTTCGAGGGGAGGGTGTCTGCCTTGCACGCGGCCCACCCAGGTCCGATTCCCAGCATCCCACATGGTCCCCCGAGCACCACCAGGAGTGATTCCTGAGTGCAGAGCCGGGAGGAACCCCTGAGCATCGCTGGGTGTGACCCAAAGAGCAACAACAACAACAACAACTTGTTGTTTTTGATGGTTCTGGAGCCAGACCCCATGGTGCTCAGGGTTACCCCTGGCTCTGCGCTCAGGGATCACTCTTTGTGGTGCTTCGGGGGGGGGTGGAATATGCCCCCACCAGGGAACACCAGCTATCGAACCCAGGCTGGCCACAAGCAACAGGGATGCCTTAACCCCTGAGCTGTCCTGCAGCCCTGAAAACGGGGGAGGACGCGGGTCCACACTGCCCGCCTTTGCAGACCGCCCTTCCCTGCAGAGCGCCCAGGCGCGCGCACGGCTCCCGGCGAGCACCCAGGGGAGGCCGCATTACACGCCCACACACAGACCCGGCTGGCATCGCCTTCCCGGATGGGGAGCCGGACGCGGAGCCCCTCCTCCAGCCCGCAGCCCTGTGTGCCCCACTGAGCTGCCTACCTTCACCATGTCCTTCTCCTTGGTCCAGGAGGGGAGCGGGAGGCCCTGGCTGAGCACCTGGAACAGCACCGCCCTCAGCGCCGTGTAGTGGTCACTTCTGACTGGCCGGATGCATTTGATGTGGCACCGCCGGGACAGCTCTACGTAAGCCTTTCGGGGCCATCGGGAGGAAGAAAGGGGGTCATTACTGCCACTGAACCAGCGCGGGAGGGCACGGGGCCTCGGTGCTGTCTTGGGTACTGCTGCGATGGGCCCCCCAAGACGAGAGCAATGAACGATGGGGCGGGAAGGTGAACCAGGTGCTCGCAGGCGGCCATGGAGACGGGCAACAGGGGTGGTGTCCACGTCAGGCGCTCAGAGCTGAGGTTCTTGGCTGGACAGGGCAATTTGGAGAGAGGATGGATGGGACTTGCCCGCAGTGAAAAATCCTTGATCGGGTCAGAACGTAGCCCAAGTGGGAAGGGTACTTGCCTTGTGTGAAGCCCATCCAGATTGGATCCCTGGCACCCATATGATCCCCTGGGTCCCTCCAGGAGTGACATCTGAGCACAGAGCCAGGAGCTAAGTAAGCCCTGAGCACTGCTGGGTGTGGTCCAAAAGCAAAAGCAAAAGCAAAAACAAAAAAAAAGAAAGAAGAAAGAGAAGGAAAGGAAAGGAAAGGAAAGGAAGGAAAGAAAGAAAGAAAGAAAGAAAGAAAGAAAACACCTTCCGTACTTTTGTTTCAGTGCTGGGGGACTGGTCCCTTCGCAGGGCTATTCAGCCAATCAACTTGGAGGGTTCAGTTCCTGCACTTAAGGATGTGAAGCTACTTGGGTCCTGAGGTACTGGGGACACCGGAGTGACACCTGGGGGTTCTGGGTGGCTTCCAGGACTGCACCCAGCAGTGACCCCGGGCCCAGGCAAGCCTTGCTCACACCCCGTCCTTTTAAGACTCTTCCCAGAAGCTTTTCCCCTAATGATAAGGCGAGGGAGCACTGCTAGGAATATCTGCCTCTGGTCCAGGGCGAGAGACAGAGCTCAGCGGAAGAGCACAGGTGGGACATGGTTGAGGCCCTGGGGTTTAGTCCCCAACACCTTACACATACACACACGCCAACATACTACCCAGTAAGACACACACACCAAGCATACACAGCCCCAACAAAACACACACACATAGTTCCAGCAACACACAGGAGTATGCCTAATGCACATGCCAACACACACACCCCACATGCAATACACACACATCCCCAGCAAAACATACAAATATTCCCAGCATCACACATATGAATTCCTAATACACATACGAACACACACACTCTGAGTGTTTGCTTCCTGATTTACACATACACACACACACACACACACACCCCATCTAAGCAAACACACGCCAACTGTTACCCACATACACACACACACCATCTCCTGTGTTTGCTTCCTAATTTCCATGCGTGCGTGCGCGCACACACACACACACACACACACATACACTGCTTCCTAATTTCCACGCACACACGCACCTTCTTCATCAGCGAGGCCTGGGGACTCTCTCCTCTCCACTCTCGGGCGCAGTAGCTGAGCAGATCAACCTCCGCCTCCACGCTCAGGTTCCCTGGGCCAACAAGAACACAGAGGCAGTTAGGGCCCCCGCTCCTGACCCCTCCCGCCCCTAAACGTGAGGTGCATGTACATGTCTGTGTGTGTGTGTTTGGAGGTGTGTGTTTGTGCATGCGTATGGAAATTAGAAAGCAAAACAGGAGATGGCGTGTAAGCATGTGGATAATTTAGGAAGCAAACACAGTTGTGTGTATTTGTTTGGATGGTGTGTGTGTGTGTATGTGTGCGTGTGCGCACAAGTATGGAAATTGGGAAGCAAACACAGGAGATGGAAACGTATGTGTGAAGATATTTACTTTTGAATTTTCTCTGCAGGTAGCCAATCCACCTAAAAGACAAAGGCAACAGTGTTAAATTCTTTGAGCACCAAGGCGATTGGAAATACTGAAGTCTGATCCCTTTTGACCTTTTTTGGGGGGATGCTCGGCTCCAACCCAGGTCCCCCACAAACCCCGTCCCCTCGGGCCCTTGCAGCAGTGCCACGCCAATATCGGTACCCACCACTTCAGCTGGTGCCCTGAAGACAGCTGCAGCCCCCGCAGGTAGCAGAGGGCCGCCATCAGGATGGATGTCACCAGGCCCACGGACCCCTTGGCTGTTCTCCATGCCACCTCCAAGGCTTGACCAGCAACCAGGACCCAGGAGTGAACCGGGCCACTGCCTGCGAAGGGTTAATAATAAAAGCAGCTCAACAACCTCACACCCGCTCTCAGTCTAGGCATGAGACACCGAGTCTCCTCGTTGGCGAACATGAACATGGGGTGGGAGCCAACCCCGCTGTGCTCAGGGGTCTCTCCTGGGAGGGCTTGGGGGGCCCTTTGGGATGCTGGGGATTAGACCGAGGATACCTGCCTGCTGTGGTATCTCTTCAGATCCATTTGTTGTTGTTGTTTTTAATGAATCACCATGAGATAGAGTTACAGACTTAAGCACTTTCGTGATTACGTTTCAGTCATACAATGATCGAGTACCCATCCCTCCACCAATGCCCATTCTCCACCACCAATGTTCCCAGTATCCCTCCCAACAACCCTACCCCACCCCCCACCTCGCCTCTGTGGCGGCACATTCCCTCTTACTCTCTCTCTCTTTCTCCTTTCGGGGTGTTGTGGTTTGCAATACAGGTACTAGGTGGCCATCACGTTGGGACCATAGCCTACTTTCGGCACACATCTCCCATCCCAAGTGAGCCCTGCAAGCATCCTTTACATGGTGCCCCCTTCTCTATCTGAGCTGCCTTTTCCCCCAGCATGTGAGTGAGGCCGGCTTCCGAGCCGTGGAGCGATCCTCCTGGCCCTTAGCCCTACTCTCCTTGGGTGTTAGTCTCCCATTAAGTTACTTTCAACATGAACATTTTTAAGGCCTTTCTACGGGTTAGGGATTCTGAGTCCCGACACGGCCTCGTTGGTGTCGGGAGGAACAGCTGACGACGACCGCCAATGACGGGTGCTCCCGGCTTGCCCAGACCAGAATCCAAAGCGGCCTCCAGCCCCTCTGCCCCCCCCCCGCCCGCTCACATCACAGGGCAGGGGCGCCTGCTGGCGAGAGTGCAGACGTTCTGCCAAGACCCCTGCTCTCCTCCCCTCCCTGCCTTCTTCCCCGACACACAGGCCATGAGGGTCACTTGCAGGGACAGAGCTTGCCTGGATTGACATTGCCACACCGACACCATCTGGGAACAAGCCCTGCCCAGTCTCCAAGTGACGTCTGCGTCTCTCCAGGCACAGGGGTCCCGCTGACCCCCCGCCCCCCACGGCTCCTCCACCTGCGACCTGCAGCCTTGTGAGCTCGTGCTCCTGGGGGTGAGGGGGGGCTGCACGTGGCTGCTGCCCCCTCCCTGGCCACGTGGTCTCTCCACCAGCCTGTGTCAGGTTGGGTGGCAGCATCTGCCTGAGAACCCATAGAAGCAGGTGGCGCCCTGGCACCCAGCCCGGGGTCCTGCCGCAACCGGAGGTCTGGCAGGGCCACTCAGGCCAAGCACAGCAGTCAGGGTTCAGGGGGCCCCAGATAGAATGTTTTAGGGGGCAGGAGGGGGCCCACAGAGCATGCTTCTGGAGCGAGGGTGGGGTCGTCTGTGGTGGCGCTCAGGGATCAGGCCAGTCACACGCTGCGACTCTCTGCCCTTTTCCCTGGCCCAGAAGCCCCAGGACCAGGCTGCACCTTCACCCCCATCCTCAGGCACACGGCCTGCCTGGGATCCTGCAGATAGGCACTTACCCTGCATGCACCCAACCTGGGATCCATCTGACATGGTCCCCCGAGTACTGCCGGGAGTGAGCCCCGAGCACAGAGTCGGAAGTGAGCCCTGAGCACAGAGCCGGGAATCAGTCCCAAGCACAGAGCCGGGAGTGAGCCCCGAGCAAAGAGCCGAGAGAGAGCCTTGAGCACAGAGCCAGAAGTCAGCCCTGAGCACTGCAGATGTGGCCCACATCTCATCTCTCACGCCCCCAAAAAGAGTCAAGCTTCTTTGTAACCCTTTGTTCTGCCCACCCCGAGGCTGGCTGCAGAAAGGAGGTCCCATGCACTGCTGTGACCCGGCAGCGAGCAGGCGAGGCTCAGGCACCCAAGCACGACCCGTGACAGAGCTCAGGACCCCCATGAGCCACCCAGGGCCCAGACGCAGCAGTATGTCTGCAACCCTCACACCGGCCTGCAATGCGGCCACAGCCCAGAACCGAACCCGCCCCCATAGCCGCTAGTTTGCATGGCTACTGATACTGTACTTCGATTTCTTTCTTTCCACTCTCGAAGGACGCCAAAGCTGAAATAACACAACACTCAAACAGGAAACCAGAAGAAGAAAGGGGGAAAAAACACACCTGAAAACAAAACTAAAAGACACCGCAAAGCCGGAAGCCGAGCGGTTAGCTGACGGGGCTGGGCCACCGGGACTCCGGGGCCTCGGGAGGGGTGGGGGTGGGGATGGGGGTGGGGGAGCTCAGCCCTACCTCGAGGGTGTCGGGGTGAGCCAGGCCATCCTCAGAGCCCGCTGCTGGCGCTGGTGGGGCTGCACAAGACCAACCCTAGTTCCAGGTCCAGGCGGTGCCCGACACGGCCAGGAGTGGACAGGGGAACCCCCCTTCCCAGGGCAGTTCCAAGTGGTATCACTTGTCTGGTGCCTGCAAGTATTGAACCACTGGTCCAGGAGGCTGAAAACCATGGGGTGGGACCTCCCCCCACGCTCTCCAGCACTGCTTAGGAGACCCTCCTGCACGTCCCCTCCCCCAAATCCCCAGGAAATTAGAATCAGTTTCTGGACCGATCACACAGAGGTGCCAGTTGAAGCCTCCTGCCCTTCCCTCTCCCCCTCCCCTGCACAGCTGCTGACCTGGGCAGTCCACAGTGGGCGACCCCACAGTGGGGGGCGGGGGCAGCAATAGGCCTCTGTGCCCATGCGCTGGTCACGGTGGTCACTCACTGAGAAGTCGGCGTGCGTGGAGACCCCCTGGACTCCCAAGGCAGCAGCGGCTGCAGGGAACGTGGCTCTGAGGGTCCCCGGAGGGGGCTGCAGCTGCTGCCCATGCCCTTGTGATGAGGGAACGTTGGGCACGGGGCCGATCCCGCTGCCAGGCATCCCCTCCTGCTAGGGGAAGGCCCGTGAGCAGCAGCACCCACACGGTTTTATCCTCCAAGTCCGAGCCGTGAGTCTGGGCCCCCGCCCCGCCGGCAATTTCCTCCAGACACGGGGCCCAGCTAGGGGCTGTCCGGGCCCCAGAGCAAGGCCACACGCGCGACCTGTCCGGCATGGCAAGACCTGTGTGTGGGAGTGTGCCTATAGGCGTGCGTACATAACTCTGTGTGTGTGTGCGTGCCTGTGTGTGCATGTGCAGGCCTGTGTGTGTGCCAGCATGCACACCTCTGTGTGCCTGTGTGTGTACATGCCTGTGTGTGTGGGCATGCATACCTGTGTGTACATGTGTGCTTGTCTGTGCACATGCATGCTTGTGTGCATGCCTGTGTGTGCGTCAGCATGCAAGCCTGTGTGTACATGCCTCTTTGTGTGCATGTGTGCATGCCTGTGTGTACATGTGTGCCTGTCTGTGCACACGCATGCTTGTGTGCATGCCTGTGTCTGCGTCAGCATGCAAGCCTCTGAGCGTGTGTACATTCCTCTGTGTGTGCAGGTGTGCATGCCTGTGTGTGCCAGCACGCATGTCTGTGTGCACATGTGTGGATGCCTGGATATCTGTCTGCATGCCTGTGTGTGTGCCAGCATGCACACCTGTGTGCTCATGTGCACGCATACATGCCTAAGTGTGTGCATGCATGCCTGTGTGTGTACATGCTTATGTGCGTATGGCTATGTGTGTCTGCATATATGCCGGTGTGTGTGTGTGTGTGTGTGTGTGTGTGTGTGCGCGCACATATGGGGCCCAAAGGCAGTGCCAGAACCAGAAGCGGTCCTGAGCACTGTTCTCTGTACTATCTCCCGGACCCTCTATCTGATGGGGCCTCGCCCCCCTAGCGGAAGCCCCCTCCTTTCTGAAGGCTGCCTCATTGATCCAAATCTCATGATTGTCTGATACTGGGTGAAGTTCCTCCTGGCCCCTTCACGGGGTCGAGACTGAGCCTTGAGGGCCAAGGCCATCCCCCCCCCACCACCTGCCCCCAGAACTTGAGGGTCTTCCACACTGCCTGGCCACCTCCACCAGTCAATTCTACGCTTAGTGTAAGCTGCCTGCTGGGACTGTGGTTGCCTTCTTCATGGAGGGGCGCAGAGAGAGGGTCTGTGTGGCACAAGGACCTCAGGCCTTGTCACCACCTGCTCAAGTCAGCCTGCAAGTAGGGCAGGGTCCCACGAAGGCTGTAGTCAGGCAACTGCCACCGGAAGTGGTGAGCTTCACATGAGTGTCACAAGCCCGGAAATGGTATTTGTTTGATTTTTGTTTCTCAGCAATTAAAAAAAAAAAATTGTTAAAAAAAAAAAACATTGTTGGGGCTTAAGTCCTACCCAAACAATTCAAGTTGGCCAGTGGGTGGTGCTCACTCACTCAAACCTAATTGGTCTTTTAAAAAAAATTTTTAAAAATTTTAAAAATCAAAAAAAAAAAAAATATATATATATATATATAGGAGCTACAGCGATAGTACAGCGGGGAGGGCGTTTGCCTTGCACGCTCAAACCCGGGTTCGATCCCTAGCATCCCATATGGTCTTCCAAGAGCCACCAGGAGTAATTCCTCAGTGCAGAGCTAGGAGTAACCCCTGGGCATCGCTGGGTGTGACCCAAAAAACCAATATATATATATATATATATATATATATATATATCAGTGCCATTCCATTCCCCAAACCTACCTTCTTCAGCTAAACAAATAGAGCACAACCCCTCCCAATTCAAGGCTTCTAAGGCCTCCATCACTCCCGTGCCCCCACTTTGGGAAGCACCACTGCAAACCAGCCCTTCTTTTTTCTTAAAGGTGGGCAACTGGGCCACACCTGGCCTGGGAAGGCTCAGGGATCACTCCTGGTTCTGTGCTTAGGGCTTCCTCCTGCGCTCAGAAATGGCTCCTGGCAGGACTGCGCAATCATATGCAGTGCTGTGACCCCTCTACTGATCTCTCTGGCTCCTACACCAGTTTTTTTAAACTTCTTTTTGTGACACCTTCTGCCTGGAGAAATTTGTTTTTGTTTTTTAAAAAAATTGTATTGAATCACCAT